CCGGCATTCTAATCTGTGGCGGGGCGGGGCGGGGCGGCGGCGCCGGCGGCGAGGGTGGGAGGGAGGGAGGGAAAAATTGGGAGCTTTGGGGTTGGGGTTTGGGGGAAACCGTCGGGAATCAGGCGGCTAATTTGATGGCGCTGCTGCTAATCTCTCTGGGGTTGGGCTAACCGCAGGCGAGATTCACGGTGGGAGGTAACTGCTTAAATCGTGTGACACGATCTCAATCCGTTCCGTGGTCGACTCCGGTTCGGTTGCATGCCGTGGGGATGCTAGTCGCCGGGGTTCGTTTTGGGCAACTCCAGGGTGGTACGTTTTCGCCGACAGCGGCAGGTGCTGGACCGCAGGGTGAGCTTAGGCTGACTAGAGGAAAAAGGACATACTATGGTCCAAGCTACGGATGATTGGCATGTGGATTGGTCTTCGGGTTTAGTTCGGGTTTGTGGGAATTCGGTCGTGTGGATTGGTTTGGTGCACGAGGTTGGAAGTGTGGAGCATCCGGATGTTTTGCGTTGGAGTTGCCCTTAAGCCTTGCCAGACTTTCCTTTTTGATGATTTTGGAAAATGTTGGCTCGGCTTTTGGGATTTCAAACTTTTGGCAGGGACAAGAAAAAGTCAAACTTTTGAGATTTCAACTTCCAAATGATTCAAAATATGTGGATGTTTGAAAATTTTCAAGTTTTGAAAAACCGTTGTTTAAGTGTTTTTTTAACTTTTGGAAAATGCAAAACCAAAAGCTCATGGTTTAATTTTTTAACTTGTGGGCTTTTAACCTTTTCAAAATTTCCAACTTTCAATAAATTCATTTCGAATTTGTACATAAGGGAGACAAAGAAAAAAGAATAAGATGGAATCATATTTGGCCTCACATTGTGTGATAAATGTTGGGAGGGAGAGTCACGCGGTGGGCACACCATCCTAACCATAAGGCCAACTCCACCACGCGACCTAAAACGGACGTCCGATTGGCCCAGATTTTGTACCTTTGAATAGGGTGATGGGGTCGTGTCCGGGCATGTCCTGAAATGCGGTGGTCGTCCGCCCAGCGCGCGGCCGCATCCTTTGGACCCATCTTGTCCGCGTTCATATTAAAAAGAGAACAACGTTTCAAATACCAACGGCCCTAGTTCAGGCCAGCGCCCTAGTTCACGCCAGCGGCCCTAGTCACGCCTTGGCGGGGAAAGCCAACCAACATATGTCAAGCATGAGGAGGGTGTGCGCTTTGTTGACGATGTCCTCCTTCTCGTCGACCGTGGCCTTGCGCCGCGCGGCCTCCACCGCATCGCGCTCGGCGGCGAACTTGGCCGCGGCGGCATTGACCTTGACGACCGCCCTCCGGTTCCTCCTCTTCGCCGATTCCGCGTCCAACTTGGCGATCTCCTCCGGCGTGCACTCTGACCGCGGCGAACTTGGCCGCGGCGGCATTGACCTTGACGACCGCCCTCCGGTTCCTCCTCTTCGCCGATTCCGCGTCCAACTTGGCGATCTCCTCCGGCGTGCACTCTGACCGCGGCGAACTTGGCCGCGGC